TATATATTTATATATATGTACGTATATAAATATATAAAATTGGGTTGAGATAAAAAAGAAGAAGTGTATAACGCGTACGACTATCTTACGACTAGTTTGTCATCTACACACACGTGATCGACACATTGTTCAATAATTAACAAAAAACCCCCCTACCTGATACAGCTGTATTATGCGTGCTATATGGTCAAAAGCTTGCCAACTGTACACTGAAGTTACCAGTAGGTATAACGCCAAGGGTGAGACGCACATCAAGTAAATGGTCACCAGCTGCGATTGGTAGTACCTGCACGATGGGGACTAAAGTATTACTCACACGGTTGACTATGAATGGAGGCGTTGAGCCAGCATGCGAGGTTGATATGCTACAGAATTGGTTTATAGCGTAGAAAAAATTCCCACCCACAGCGGTACTATGTAGCGAGCGGAGGGTACGGGAACGGCAAGGAAATACAACAACGCAGAGAATGAGGTTGTACGTGCTTGTCTCGAATCCACATACATAACCCAACACACATATCAATATACAGTAATGCAATAATTAGGCAGAAGCTAAACTAACAGGCATACAGATGCGCAAACACACACACATGGGCACAGGATAATCAACCGGAGCTACACTAACAAAGGGCATGCACATGCATGATTCATATCACTATCTCAACACATAGCACCATCAAGCACAGCAATACCTTCACCGAGACTGAACAAACAGGCATACATGTATACAAACGCAATATATCTCAACACACAATACCATCAATACTATGTACAGCAATACCTTCTTAGAGACTGAACCAATAGTCATACCAATTTACAAACACAATATATTTAACACACAATACCATCAATACTATGTAAAGCAATACCCTCACAGAGACTGACCAATAGAAATACCAATTTACAAACACAATATATTTAACACACAATACTATCAACACTATGTACAGCTATACCATGACAAAGACTGATTCAATAGACATACAAATGTTTCAACACAATATATTTCAACACACAATACTATCAATACTATGTACAGCAATACCTTCACAGAAACTGAACTAACAGGCATACAGATCTACAATCGCAATATATTTCAACACACAATACCATCCATACTATGTACAGCATCACAGAGACTGAACTAACAGGCATACACATCTACAAACACAAACTATCTCAACACACATATCACCATTATCATGTACTGCAATACCTTGACAAAGGTTGGACTAGTACGCAAGCAGGCACCAACACCACGGCCAAGATAAGAGCGAGCGAGAAGTTAATCAGCGCAATGGATGCGATAGAGATGGCTGCGTACAGCGACAAGAAGCACTTGACAAGGACCCAGGTACCTACTGGTTCAGCTGGGGAAGTAAGGGGTTCATCTGTATGAGGATAGGTGTGGAAGTGTGTAATTGTATAAGAATAAGTGTGTATTTGTATAAAAAATGTATATTTTTGTTAAAGATAAGTTTACACACACGCAGATATATATATACTTATTTATATGTACAAATATATAAGAATCCATATATATATATATATATATATATAAATATATATACACACACACA